TTGAACCTTGCCAGTAACTGACATTTAGAATAATAACATGGGCCTAATTAACAAAGTATTAATGTGAACTGCTATGACTCCAGAACTCCCTGTACACCAACAATAAACACAACTTAAAAACAAAACAAAAACTTAAATCCTGAGGCTGTGCTTTCAATGTGAATATGCTGCCTAGAAGTTGAAATCATGTTCTTAAGCTTATACAGAACCCCCATCTACAAGCTTATTATTAACCAAAAAATACGTTCAGAATTTTAATTGAAGAACACATTTCTCTTTATCAGTGACATCTGTGACTCCATGACTTAAAGAGTATATTGCTGAAAAGGCATTTAAGCAGCTTTTTTTTTTTTTAAATATATATATATCTTTATTTCAGAGAGAGGAAAGGAGAGGGAGAGAGAGACAGACAGAAACATCAATGATGAGAGAGTCATTGGGGATTGAGCCTGGCAACCCCGGCATGTGCCCTAACTGGGAATAGAACCTCGATCTCATGGATCCTAGGTCGATGCTCAACCACTAAGCCACGCCCGGCCGGGCCATTTAGGCAGCTCTTGCAAACAGTAATAACATTCTACCTTAAGCTGCCAGTAGCAGGAATGAATGCATGGATCTGCTTTGCAGATGGTCCAGTGCTTGCACGTAAGAGGCATCCTGCAAGCCCATGCAGAACCTATTAACTTATAAGATATAAAAGGCATAAAAAAAGAAGAGTGTGAAAGATAATTTTAACATTTCAAGCTTGGGGAGCTAGAAGAAAAGTGGAACCTTTGACATTTATAGGGTAACTAAAAGACAGTGGTTGATGTCAATATAATATTCAAAAGGCACTTCAATAATACATATTTTGTTGGAGTGGTCAGAGCTAGAGATGTTACTCTAGGAATCACCTGCATATATAGAGCTTAAAAACTGACCCTAGAGACTGGAAAAGAACAGAGGATCAAGAAAGAATCCAAGGGCACAACCATAATAAAGAGTTTCTGGGCAGCTAAACAAAGAACCACAAATATGTAGCAATCTAAAAAGCAAGCAAGGTAGATTTAGAAGAACTTAGTGTCATTAAAGTCAAGAAATAATTTTAAGTATAAAGTGGTCATCAATAGACTTCTAAACTCCTGACCAAGGATCCCGACCGGGGATCGAACTGGCGACCTTTTGGTACACCAGACTATGCTCAAACTGAGCCATACCAGCCAGGGCAGAAATGATATGCTTTCATCTCTGCATGCTGTAGAAGCCCTTATCACAGTACCTGCCAGAGTATATACTCAGTAATAATATATACATCCTTACACTGTGCCTGTCAGGCACTGTTTAAATGGTGTTAAACAAAATTCATATTTCTTACAACAGAAGTTGCTATTATCATACCCATTTTACATATAAGGAAAATGAGGCACAAAATAGTTACATAATTTGCCCTAAATTGTACACCTAGGAGAATCTGTTCTGAAAGAGAACACTGCTGAAAGCAAGTTCTATTAAGTACTAGGGGAAAATCTCAAAACTGTAGGATGTTAAATACACCAGAGGTACCCTTCATTTTCTCCCTGTCCACACTCCTTTCTTAGAGAACTTTCTGTACCCAGTCTAAAACAGTACAAACTGTGAGACACACCTAAGTCTCCTCTCTATCTATTTTCCCATCCCCATCTTCCCCCAACCTCAGCCAAAGGGACTGGAAGTGGGTACCTAACCAATCGGATTCTCTCTTCAGAAATTCAGAATTAAGACACAGAGGTATGTGTTGAGAACCATACAGTAATATCAAAGTGAGTCTGCTGTTGGCACCATGACAAATTAAAGCTTTATGCAAACCAAAGTTATACAGAAGCAGAAACCAAGAACTTTAAAGAGGGACAATCTGAAAAAAAAATAAAAATGGAACAGACATAGAGTATAGAGTAGCAGAGAACAGAAGAACAGAGATATAAAACCATGTATTCCCCGAGAAAAATTGGAAGACTAACCCCCTGAAGATTTTCTGGTTCCCAGGACACTGAGCTGGAGTGGACTTCATGCAATAGACTTCAGAGGCAGCCCTCCAGCTGTCATACAATCGCCGTTTTTAGTAAGTTAATTCAAATGGGTTTCTGTTCCTCCTAGCCAAGTAAACCTCAAGCCATGAAAAAGGGTCAAAAAAAAAAAAACACACTGAGTAAGCGGCTACTATGTGCTTCACAATAACTTTTTGAGGTATGTTAACTCTCTTCAGGATGAGGAAAGAGGCTCAGCAATATTAACAGACCAGCCAGATTCCAAAACCCAAACTCTTTACAATATACCTCATTTTCACTCAAGTAAACATCCTCTCTGTTTCAGGCCACTACATCATTTCTTGTTTCTTCCCATGAAACATTCTCAGATTAATCCAAAAATGTTAACTTTTCTCCTTTTATCCTGTCACATTTCTAATCTATATACAGGGTGGGGCAAAAGTAGGTCTACAATTATGAGTACTCAAAGAAGTTTATTCTTTTTTTGCTTTGTTTTTTTTTTGCTAATCCTCACCTGAAGATATTTTTTTCTATTAACTTTTTAGAGAGATTGGAAGGAAGGAAGGGAAAGACAGAGAGAGAAAGAAACATCGATGTGAGAGAGACACAATGATTGGTTGCCTCCCACACTAGCCCTGACTGAGGCCAGGGATCAAGTTTGCAACTGAGGTACATGCCCTTGACCAGGAATCAAACCCGACACCCTTCAGTCCAAGGGCTGACGCTCTAACCACTGAGAAAAACTGGCAAGGGCCAGAGCTTATGCTTGTATTATTATTTATTAATATTTTTCATGCAAACAACTATAAACCAACTTTTGCCCCATCCTGTATTTCAAATGCCTCAACTTCTAGTAAATATTTTAAAATAAAATGAACTTTTATATGTAAAAGTTTGGTCTGCTTTTTACTGATAAAGTATTTTTCTTTCCTTTCCCCATTTCACCAGTTTATACACCCTTAACCCAAGCCCAGGCTAAATTGGTATCTTTTCCTGACCTGCCCCTATCCTTTGTTCCCTCCAAGTGGTTAATTTTATTACTAAAAGGCAGGTGACTTGACAGAAAAAGAACAAATTCAGCTCACTTAAATAATTATTTTCAATAACTTCGTGAAGCACAGTTACTTCAATTACTTTTCCAAGGCAAGACAAAACAACTAATACATACGCCCTAAAAGCTTGAAATTGGAAATTCCATTGCCAATATGTAATGGGAGAGAATTTCTTTAATGTAGATGGCTCTCTTTTTACCATTCTCAAAAAGACACTTCCTAAGTTCTTCACATCTTTTTCCAAATATTGACAGAACTCCACCGACCATTTGTAAGGGAAAACTTCCCTAAAAATGAGCAATAATGTATCACCTGATTGGGTTTGATTTCCTTTTCAGATGGCAAGTTCCTAGAATTAAAATATGTAAATATATACACACATATATATTAAATGCATTATCCTTCTTCCTCTATATGTATATACACAAATACATATTAAATGCATTATCCTTCTTCCTCTTTTACCTCTAAAAGGCAAAGACTTCTTCAGTTTCTAAACTTACCCCAGGAGCTCAGAAGCTAGAGAATTTCTCAGTGTGGTTCAGGGTCTTTGGCAAGTACCATATCCTCAACAACTGGGATATATCACTAGTCCTTATCAATACAGCAGTTATGTGGGTACATACACTAACCACTAGTTACCAGTTTGGTAACCAGCTTGGTATCCCATTTGTTCCAACTGCCCTACATTCTCTGATGCCTCATAAACTGCTCTGCTACAACTGCAACTAACAGTGAAATTCACTGTCAACCCTTGCAGCAGTGCTACTAGAAGGAACATAAAAAGTATGAAAACCAGGCAGGGTACTACTTGAAAAAAGTGACCGTGTTTAAAGAGTCATTAAGTTGCACTATTTTAAATGTCACTAATCACGGTGGGAACTGTGCTTCCACTTACTCTAAAATGGTAAATAAGGCATTAAAACCATCTTTGCATTATCAAGTACCCTTTATTTTCTGAGTATTTCCACACATAACGAAATCAGTATCAATCACTATAACATCCCTAACAAGGTGGGAAGAAGCTAAGGAAAACTTACATGTTTTGCAAGGGACTGAAAAGAGAACTGGAATTTTTAACTCGTGTTTGCAATAAGGCCATTAGATGTCTCAGCAGTATTTCTCATCCTGAAATTTCCTTACCATCTTAAGCTACATCATCTTCAGTTTAATAATGCTTTAGAAAACAGAGTAAGCAGAAGCAAAGAACTGTTACAAAGTCATACAGGGTGGCGGTTTAGATTCTATCCCCATAGTCATTTTGCCAACGTTTTTAATACTTTGGTCAATAGCTATGTTTTTCTATAAAGCAGCTTAGACGCCTGGAATAATAGACATATACTCAATCCATTTGGAATATGGATGCCCAGCATTTAGGCCACTAACAGCCTTAGAGAAAAATGTGACAGAAAATATCAATTTCAACACTCTGAGGAGCTGCTTGACGGCTTCCATTTCTGTCAGACTTGGGCAGCGCCTGGTTCCAGGGCTCAAGGGTTCTGACAGTAAAGGATGCTGCGGCTGTTCGGGGACAAATTGCAACGTCCTCTCCCTCCTGCACACTCTCCTGGAGGTGCACCACTAACACAAACTAAGCGCACGCCCCGCCACGCACCAAGGTAACGGCTACGAAGACCACCCTGCGGACGGAAACTGAACTTGGCATTCACAGCGCTGCGGCTCCGCCGCCACACTCCGGACCCCAGTGAGACTCGTCTCCAGTCCCGGTACACCCACCCCCTCGGCCCTGGGCTTCCTCCCTCCGCCCGCTCCTCTCGCCCTCCTCCCACCGCCAGGCGAAGGCGCAGCTCGGAGCAGCCCCGAAGTCAGAGCGAGGACTGCGGGCAGGCGGAGGGCTGGGGCGCCGGAACTGGGCCACTCCATCCATCGCGGCCCCACACCCCACCGGCAGCTACCGCCGCAAGCGGATCTGCGCTCGGCTCACCTGAGGACAGCAGCCTCCGCAGCTCACAGGCATATCACCAGCCCGCAACGA